TTTAATATGTATATTATATTTGACATTGAGATTTTGAGAACTCTTTTTAGCAGTCCAGTTATTGTGTTAAAAGAACATAACTGTTATCAATCTTTAAGTAATTTTATCACTAGTACTTTTAATACTTATTCATATTCAATCTAATAGTTATAAAGTATTATTAATACTTTGAATTGTCATTAAGATATCAGAAGTTTTCCTTTGAATATTCCTTAAATTTTATAAATACCTTTGAGTATTTTGAAAGCCCTATCAAAACGGTAACAGTATATTTAGAGGTATTTTGATCTATTGGATTTGATTCAATATATATGATTATATCTGGATTTATTTTTAGTGCATTTGGATTTACACTCACCTTCTTGTATTTTTTACTTGAAGTTAGATAATTATATTATACTATCTTAACTGGATGCCTATATATCTTTTTTTGAGCTTGAGACAAAAAAGGATTTAATGCAAAGTTATTTTCTATTTGTCAATATGCTTTGAAGAAGTATCCTTAAAAAGTCAGATTGTATAACTTCTGATCTTATATCAAGAAATACGAAACATATCTCTTTAGAGCTGTGGAGAGTTTCAGAAGTTATATGTTGAAAATATTATCCGAGCTAGATTTGATTACTTTTCTATTCTGATTTGGAATACAAATCATATGATAGATGTAAAGTATTTTTGTGATGTGGTGAAGTATAGAAAAGTAAAGTATCTTAAGTTCAGATATTGATATTTATAGCAGAGCTAGTGTTTCTGACACATATAAAATTACTCATATAGATATTGTTGTAACGATTACTTATAATGATTGACAAGCATATGAAATCAACAAATGATGATCATAATAGATAGTGATTATTCTATAAATGAGAAATCTATTTTGGACATATAGTTAATTCTCGGATATAAGTATCAAAACTGGTTCATAAATTTTACTGGTAAGTAGTTATTTGGAAGAAGTATATATTAATAATGAACTATTTTGATTATAATTGATATTTAACACGTAATTTTCTCTCAGTATAAACTAAAGAATAAATACAAATTATAGTTAATTAGATAACTTATGTAACTTGACATTTTCGCTAAAATAATTAACCTATCATATGATATGTGTGTCATAGAAGAAATTTGAATGTAATGCTGTGCACGGGCTTTGTCTGATAGAATCTGCATGCAGTATCTGGTCATGCAATACACTGATTACCAAATTTAAAACATCTCAAAAATGGATATATAACATCATTTTTATACTTTTATTAGCTTTACTGCTCCACTATTTATATTTATCGCAAAACTAATCTGATATGTTGTACTTTTTACAAATAGGGATAACGGTAACCTGGTTTGAATAATCGACTCAAGATATATACATACCCTTTGTTCTTGTGCATACGTTATCTTTTTCCTAATCTATTCTTCGGTGAAATAATGAAAAGCGATAAAAGAAAAGTATAGTGAACTTTTTACTTATAATTAAGCAAGTGGTTATGGAACATATACATATTCTTTGTTATCGTGCATACACCAACTTCTTTCTTAATCCATAAGTCAAGATACTAAAAAGAAAATAATAAGACGCGTTAAAAGGAGAGTATAACGGTGTTGATAGAAGCTTTAGTTGCGTCTTTTTACAATTTTAATTTATCATACATACAATCAAATTTTTCATTTTCAATATGTCAATCTTAATTTCAAAAATCGAAACACTTTTTTTAGAAGGATCCTTGAAGCTATATGCTTTGCTACAATTATTTATTTGACGAGAAAAGGGACAACTATATTGTCATTAAATGATATTAAAGATTTTGCAGAGCATGCAGTGAATGCTTCATTAGAAAAGATAACTGATTTTGAATGAAGAATGAAAGTTTTAGAGGTCTTAACACAGGTTTGTAAATTATATACTTGCTTCATAACCATGAAAATGACTATATATAGTGATGATTTTACAGCAAATGTTATCAAGTCTATTCTGCGTATTATTGCTAAAAGTTAGGGACGCTGGCCCGGAAGAGTGATGTGGTCAGGATTTTTTCTCATAATGTCGAGGGTTTCTGCTACCCCCTAAACTATGTGTGATATGCAAAATACTTTTTAATTTTTGAGATTAACGAGGCTAATAAACAGTATCTGATTATGCATGTGCAAATAAATATGAATTATTCACAGTGCTATAGCATGCTTTAAAATAATTGTGATCACATATCTACTTTTTTCCATTTGCTGTAAATGGAAGTTATATATAAAAATATTGTAGGATTGGATGTGGTGAAAGGGTTAAGTATGGAACAAGAAGCTACTCCTGACCATTCGAGAGAAGAAATTGATCGAAATTTAAGAGCATTACAATCGAAACTTGGAGCACCGATAGCTGATACTGATATATCTCTTTATAATGCCTTTAAATTCCATTGATCATTCTGAACTTACTTGGCGTGATCCTGAGGCAAATATGATCATTGCCGATGATTCTGCATTAGTAAAAAATCTGGGGCAGAGACAAATGCAAGTTTTTTTAGAACCACGTGAGAGTATGAAATGTGTCCTTCCCACCTTCATTACTTCAAGATGCGTTGAATTTTTGAATAATTTCAATAGAGTTGATGTTCCGAATGCATTGTACATAATAAGGAGTGGAAAGAGGAAAGATCAAAATTAATAGAACGGACAAATCGTATATTATGTGTTCTGTATGTAGTTGTATTTCGTGAAATCTGAATATCCAAATATCTAAATTTTATTTTTATCTTTATAGAGAGGGGATATGGAATAATCCAGCATTTACAACTAGTGAAATACGAGGTACTCAAAGTGAAGGAACCTATGTCACAGATATTATTGTACCTTTACTTCGAGCTAGTTTATAGGATCTTCCAAATGGTAGCATTTTTCTAAGTACTACAGAACGACAAAGTATGACAAGTAAGGCTCGCAAAAGTTTTGGATCGAATGAAGAAAGACCTACGCACAAGACTTCAATAGGAAAAAAGCCAGATGTTATAGTTATGGCAAAATATGGAGGTAAGATTTTTGAACTTGCTTATGTCGAATCATCACGAATTCTTTGTACTAGATCAAAAAGAGAGGATGATTCAGTAAAATTGTGGAAAGAGACTTTGGACAGTATAAGTTTTGTAGGTGTTGCATGTAGACCAACGAACAATCAGTTTGGTATTGTTGGAATTCAAGTAGCCGGTGAAGATTTATATTTAAATATTTTAGTAAAAGATGCAAGTGGGATACCGAGATATTTTTATGTAGATCAGGTGGAAATACCTTTTACAAAAAATACTTCATGGCGTGTAGAACCCCTTATTCGTTTACTTTTAACTCTTAGAAATATTATGATTGTAAACCAAAGCTTACTGATACAAGCTCTAGAGCAAGCCAATACACGTCCACCAAGAAATGCTACCCAAAGTCCCACAGTAACATCCCCATCCCATAAATAGATAGATTTTTATTTTGTATTTATTATGCGAAGCATGGGCAAGGCCATATATATAGACATCATATATTTTATCTTGTATTTTTATCATATATTTTATTAATAAAGATTTTCGATTAGAGAAACGTACAATTTAAGTGTCTTGACACTATTTCAAAGAAATGGCTCTCCGAGCCTAGCTCCGCTATCATGTGTTATTTTTTTGTGTAATGTATATGTGTAATTTTCGGAATAATTTTTTCGTGGATTTCGTATCTTATACAAAACAATGGAAAATACCAAATCCGAACTAGATCTATTGAAACAAGAAAATGCTAGGCTTTTGGATAAAATTACGGAATTGGAACAAACTGTGGAATTGGAGCAATATAAATCAGATACTGTGAACCTATTTCAAAGAAATGGCTCTCCGAGCCTTAAAACTGAGAATATTGAGCTTAAAGATAGAATAACAAAATTGGAACGTATCACTGGAAACTGAGATAAGTGTAATGCATATAATTAATATTTTTCTTGGCATCTGCGTTCCGAAATGGGACATACACGTGATTTTTAAAAAATTTTCTTGGCATTTTTCGACGAACATTTTTGGCGATTTGTTCGCTGAAATTTGGTCACGTGTTTATTTTTATTTGAATATATTCGTATCTTATATAGCGGAGCTAGTGTCAAGACATTTAAAAATACCAAATCCGAACTAGATCTATTGAAACAAGAGAATGCCAGGCTTTTGGCTGAGAATACTGAACTTAGAAATGAGAATACTAAATTAAGACAAGATATAGGAGGGCATGAAGCCAGAATCACGAAACTAGAACATGACATAATGGTACTTAAAAAAGAATTGGGATTTAAGAAAAACCGCAAATTTCAGACTAAATGCATTCAGATAGCTAAAGAAATTCTTAACGAAGAACCGATAATTGAGTATCGTCCTCCTTTTATGGAAGGATTAGAACTTGATGCCTTCTTCCGAAGTAATAGAATCGCGTTAGAGGTACAAGGGCTCAACATCGGCTTCATAACACCAGCTGGTATAAGGATATTGTTAATCGTGATCGGAAAAAAAGATGCATATGTCAAGATAACGGAATTTTTCTTCTTGAGGTATGGTATGATGAAAAACCGGATATTGTTATTCCTAAAAGGATACAAAAAATTAAGGGTTTTGTTAATCAAACGTTTAGAACTTTTGACCTATAATCAAATAATTTATAATGTATTTAATTTCTAAATTGCAGGTAAGCGTTCAATATATTTTCACGAATTAAAAATCATGTTTAAATAGCACATCATACCCGATATCAGATGTTACAGATTGTCTGATGATGTTAATAATAAACTCGTCTGTTAATAAACTCGTCTGATCCGATGATGTAATAATAAACTCTACTAGTACAATAATAGGCCATAAAAGTCTGCTTACAATTTAATTTTTCGTAGTGCAATGGCAACCACATTTTTAGGAGTAGAGAGTGGTCGTTTTATTGATAAAGGTACTATTTTATTATTGATTAAAAAACATGAAATAAATATTTATCCCAAAGTCTTATAAAGGAACTTTGCGCATTCCAAACATACAAAGAGCCTTTAAAAATCTTGTTAATGCAGAATCCAAGGTATAGTATTGTATTCCATTTTTTTGAAGCATGTATTTTGAATTAAGCCAACAGTCTGTTTCTCCTAGGTGATCAGTCAAATCGAAAATGAAGTTAATACAGAACTACGCGAAATGCATGATGTGGATATTATAGAATTTGAATTACCAGAAATAAAGGCCAAGGGCAAGAAACGTGATCAAATTTTTGAAAAGATCCATGATATTTTTAATGCTGAAATTGTTGACAATAAATTGTTCATCAAGGTAAGGTACCATTTTTGTTTTATAATTATTTTACATAATTTTCTAATTCTTTTGTTACTATTCAAGTTTAATGATGGGATTAAAGCAGAAATACATTATAAGTTGACGAGTTCACTTAACCAACAACTCCCACCAACTTGGTGGAATCAGATAGATAATATATGTGTGGTTAACGGTAATCAGTATCGACCTGATGTGGGTGGTTGGAACCCTAAACCAACAATTGATCAAAGACTTACTCCTATTATTAATCCATGTCCACCACCATTGTTATGGATTGAGGTAAAGATCTTGTTTCCTTATCTTCCGAACTATGCAACTATTTTTTGACAATAGGCTAATCAAATATTTATAGGTGACTTATGACAGACATGGTGATCGTGATAACGCCATAAATAAAATCACGCGCATTCAACCCCACTGCCCAAACACAGAGTTTATAATCATCGTTCTTCCAACTATTGGACTCCCCCTTCCAGCAAATTCAAATCCAGGTGTCGCTTCAATGGTGGCAACACTCAAAACGGCTCGTCCTTCTCATGCTCCATATCTTGGCCATTGGCCCGTGGGCAATACAGTTCGTTGGTACAAGATAAAATGGAATAGACATCTTGTATTAGGATGTGGGGCGAACATAGATTTTAATGATATACTTCAAGTCTTAACATAAAATTTATAATCAACAGATCAAACTATTATTGTTTTATTATTATACTTTCTTTGTTATTCATAAAAATTTATATGATATTGGCATCGGAATCTAATTTGCAATAAAGAACATATGTGATGAATGGAATATAAATAAAAAATATAATGTAAACAGATAAAAATTACAATGAATGTAATGGGTGCGCAAAAGCGAAATATTATTCATAACTTTATTTGATGGCAGTTCCTTTCCCTACCCCGTACTATCTATCATCGTTATCGTCGTTATTATTATCGTCAAATTATATTACTGCTACTTGGCCGTGCCAGCTCCGCTGAAAAATTATTTCTATTACTACTACCGCTAATGACAACAAAATCTTTTTTCCGATTTTCTTTCTCGATCCCGCGGTCACATGGGGTTGCTCCCTTGGGGCTCTATGACACGTGTTTATTTTAAATAAATCTATCATGCAATCCGAATTGGATTTATTGAAGCAAGAAAATGCGAAACTTATGGCCAGAATCGCCGAATTGGAACAGCGTGAAAGTGAAAATGCAGAGCTTAAAGCCAAGGTATTGAAACTAGAATATGGCATCGAGGAAATTCTCGATCAAATATGTGGGTTAGTATACATACAACGTAATAAATTCCACAAAATGTACATGTAAAAATGAATGCGATTAAATATACGAAAATAGCTACCAGGGTCAGACTTTCAGTGATTTTTGTCACGTGAATTTATATCTTTACGATAAAGAATTGAATATATCTGCACCACGTGTTTATTTTTACTCATATATTTCTCAAACTTTTGAATACATCCGCATCTTATATCAACAATGACAAACACACAATCTAAAATCGATTTATTGGAACAGCGTATTACTATACTTGAGGCCGAGAATGTAAAGTTAAAACAGGCTATAGAAGAGAATGCCAAGCGTGGAGTTGAAATTGCTAAGCTTAAAGCTGAGTCTTTACAGGAGGTTAAGACGCGCGAAAGGATTGAAAAAACTATGCTAGAGTTAGATGGGTGTTTATTTCGCAAATCATTATCTATGAAATAGTTAGTATATCATTTTTCTGCGACCACATCGAGGCTCTATGTCACATGCATAACCACTGTGTGACTGCCTTCAGCACGAATGTATTGTTAAAATTTATCGGTGTACAGCACGAATGTATCGTTAAAATTTATTGGTGTTCATACTATATATTTGTCAGCACTGCATTTTCTGATCAATTAAACCGAAACAATGTTCATTCTGTTAGCCCGTGCACGATTAATTTGATCAATTAGTACCACGTTAACCGGCGAAATTAAGTCATACGAGCATCCACGTTATTTCAAACACATGCTTCGATCACGGGTAATGGAAACGTAATACGTAAAAATAGTTAATCTAAGTCGCGCTTTATATGTCGATTAATAAACTTACCAGATGATTAATTTATTTCTTGTGGCATTTTCGCTTTTTTACAACTGTGACCTTACATACACCTTCCGGACCTGAATTGGAGGAATAAGAAGTGCTTGTATCAGAAGTGTCAGTATCCGAATCCGTGGAATACTTACCCCCACCTTTCTTGCTCTTATTTTGGTATAAGCAAGAATTAGAAGGATCTGTCTCAGATTTTATCCATGGTAGCTTTGCTTTATTTATACAACTTAGTTCATACGAAGTTTTTCAAAAACTCCATACTCTATATCATTTTCTATAGAATGAATCGACTTCCAAATATTATTGAGATGCGTTTTTATTGAAAGCTTTCCACACCCATCGTCTAAATCTATTGCAAAGCAATGGCTTTTCGAGCCTACTTTAGGATATTTCTTAATCTTGCTAACTCTTCTATATGTTGGAGATACAGGAGGTATGTTGTCATGATGTCTCTTTCGTTGCTTATTATCTTCACTTCTGAAAGATAAATTCTTGAACATATTTGTGAGTTCCTCCAATAATAGATCAGACACAGATGAGTTATTTTTTGTGGTGCTGGCTTTGTTAAAATCTTCATCAATAATGGGATACTTATATTATTTATTACAATTTTAGCACAATATTCACAGATTTCAGAAGAAAATTCAAAGCTTATTTTTGCTTTATGCATCCATAATCAATCTCTCTCTAACACCAAATTGAATAATGGATTTTTGCAAATTTGAAAATCTATTACTTCGATATCATCTAAGCTTTGCCATTTTCCTTTATAACAAAATTGCAGATCTAAGCATTTTATTTTTTCATCTATCAAATCATCACCAGATACATCTTCTAACCCATAATCTTTTTCAAGCTTATTGAACAACCTTTTACTAATAATATTAAATTTCGAGAATGTATCATATCAGAAAATTTTTATATCCAATTATAATCAATTATTATCCAATAATCAATTATCATCGATTGTTAATAATTGATTATAATCGATTGCAATCAGATATAATTGATGATTATTAAAATCGAATATAATCAATTTTTTGTTTAGAATCAGTTAACATCTATAATCAATGATTATTGATTTTAATTAATTGATTGTAATTGATTATAAATGATTACAATTGATTGTAATTGCTGCAGATTGATAGACAATGAGTAATCAATTACAATCAATAATCGATTCTCATCAATAATTAATAATTGATGATAAATAATTATTGATTATAATCAATTACTCATTGTTTATCGATCTGCAGTGATTACAATCAATTGTAAATGATTACCCTACCAATTAATTCATCTTCCACAAGTACATATACAATATTAAGAAGCTTTCAAAATTTAATTCTTGGTATCAATTCAATAGATATTTCAAGCAATATTTTATA